GCTAGTCCACTCTCCCACTGCCGATGCTGCGGCCACTGACCGCCAGAAACAACAGACTTGATATAACCTCGCTCGAGCGGCAGCAGCTTAGAACTGTTCACAAGCTCGACCAGAGGAGTGAGGTTACAGCCCTGCGTGAGCTCTGGGACGGATTCCCTGACCGAGACCTTGGCCCAGAGCCAGAAATCAATAACACGAGCGAGCCACATGGATACAGTACGGGGCCCATATTCAAGCACCGAGATCTCTCCAAGGGCCGCGTGTCGCCAAACAAGTCCCTGAATGCCGATACCAATCCTGAGAGCAGTAGCAGCACATGCAGAGAAGGGTCCACGGACACTGGCCCACGGATTGCCATTGTGCTTTAGCCGAGCATCGGCATTGACCAGACCTTGCTCGAGCAGCTTGCGCGGCAAAAGCATGTCCCAAACCGCGGTGGCACACATGCAAAGCGGGTCGATAGTGAGACGATACGACGGGTCGCATTTTTGCGCCTCGGTGAGCATTAGCAAAAGAGTCACACTCCGACCAGCGAGGCTCTGCACCTGCACGTGCGCCTGGAGCGCACGAGCCACTCGCAAGTCAGAACAGTTCGTTTGACCCGGGCTTGGGTGCAGGATCCTGCAGGGTCTTGCAGGATCCTGCAGGGCCCGACGGACCCAGGTCAGGTTTGGCCCGGGTCAGCAGGACCCCGATAAAAGAGAGAAGGAGGAAGGAGGTAGGCATTGAGAGAGACAGGCGGGAGGCGGCGGAGGAGGGGCAGAGCCGTGCGGTTCTCCGAGAAGCGTTGTTCGGCACGCGGGCGTCTGCCGTTCCCCACTGCGCGTGCGGCCCGCCCGGCCTCCAGCGCCTGCGCCTGCCGTGCTCCGAGTCAGCAGGAAGGTAAAGGACCATCGACTTTCAGAGGTGCGCGCGGATTGCTCGCATCGGCGCTGCTCTCCCCAATCCTGGCGCGGAGCGCGCCAGGGGTGGCGCCGGAGGCACGGCGCCGATCCGAGAAGTCCGCAGGGGCCCTCCCAAATGTTGATGCTCATGTGATCTGTTGTTCCTCGAGTGTGATGCTGTCTTGCCCCGCGGTTCACGAGCCGCGCCTACCCTTCGCGAGTGCGGGCTCCCGAGGTAGCGGCTATTCCAACGGCGCCGGCTACGAAAACAGCATGAGTTACACCAACGGCAGTGGCAGGGCTGGGCTTGAAAAGCTGGGGCAGGAAATTCGGGATGCACAGGAGGACTGGAGTGTGCAGGAGGATCGTAGGCGAAAGACATATCCGTATGGCCGAGCTCTTGGGCCGCGACACCGCGGACACGGGGCGTTTTTTCGAAGATGCCCCGCGCGGAACGTATCCGTTCGACCGCGCATCCGCGGGATCGCGCCCCAGATTCCAGACTGCGAGGGCGTGTACATGGATGTGTTCGCCGCGCGTGAAAGAAATTGCAGGCAAAGTGGTTGCATGAAGTAGAGCGGCCGGATGATGTGGATGAACAGGAGGAGGAAGAGGAGGAGATGAGCGAGGCGGAGGAGGAGGGGGACAGAGGAGCGGCCTGACGAGTAGAAGTTTGAGTGTCAAGAAGGAAACAGCTCTTTCCGCCGCAGCGCGCCAGAGGCAGTCCGCACGCTCGTCCAGGCAAGCTGGGCGACGGCACTGCGAATGGCCCCGAGCGCAACAGGGCAGGGACAGCGGCGGCAGCGCAGGGTGGTCGGAGACCAGGCCCCTCGGCCGGAGGCCAGAGCAGCGGTGGCGACGGCGGCCCCTGCAAATCGGGGGGGGGGGGGCCGGCGCGGCTGCTGGGCGAGCCGCGCAGGCGGGCGCCGCAGTGGCGGCCGCGGGGGGCGTGCGGCGGCCCGCCGGGGTGGGCGACGCAGCAGCGCAGCCGAGGCGGGGCGCGTCCGCGGCGCCAACCGGGCGGGGGGCCCGGAGGAACAAACACGGAGCCACCACCACCATAAGTTGGAGGGGGGGGAGGAGGAGGAGGAGGAGGAGGAGAGGAGGAGGAGAGGAGGAGGAGGAGGAGGAGGAGGAGGAGGAGGAGGAGGAGGAGGAGGAGGAGGAGGAGGAGGAGGGGGAGGAGGAGGAGGAGGAGGAGGAGGAGGAGGAGGAGGAGGAGGAGGAGGAGGAGGAGGAGGAGGAGGAGGAGGTGGGAGGAGGAGGAGGAGGAGGAGGAGGAGGAGGAGGAGGAGGAGGAGGAGGAGGTGGAGGAGGAGGAGGAGGAGGAGGAGGAGGAGGAGGAGGAGGAGGGAGGAGGAGGAGGAGGAGGAGGAGGAGGAGGAGGAGGAGGAGGAGGAGGAGGAGGAGGAGGAGGAGGAGGAGGAGGAGAGGAGGAGGAGGAGGAGGAGGAGGAGGAGTGAGGAGGAGGAGGAGGAGGAGGAGGAGGAGGAGGAGGAGGAGGAGGAGGAGCCCCCTCCCCCTCCGACTTATGGTGGTGGAAAACAGGCCCCTCAAAGCAGGCGAAGGGGCCGAGGGCGTGTGGCCAGCGCGGCGCCGGCGGGGAGCGCTCGGGGCCCGGGCGGCCGCGGGGGGGCGGCGCGCATGGGAGCCCACGCGAGAGAGGCCGCGGGCGGGCGGGGGTGGCGGCGCGCGCGGGCGGCAGCAGCACTGGGCCCGGGCAGGGCGCACGCATCGCAGCCGGGGGGGGGGGCCGGCGCCCAGCCGCAGCGAGGGCAGCGCGGAGGCACCAAGCGCTGAGCCGCTGGGACGCAAGTGGAGGCGGCGGGGCCCAGCGCCACCAGCAGGCGATCGCAGAGGCACGGATCGATGGGGGCGTGGAGTGTAACGTCGGGCCCCGCTGCCATGGGAGATCGCGGACTGCCGCCTCCGAGCGAGGCGGCGCCGGCCGCCTTTCGGGGAGGGCACGCCCCCCGATCATCCATGGATTGGGCGACGCGCGCCGAATCCTTGGATCGCCAATCCATGCTTGCGCGCCCCCGTCACCAGGCAAACACCCCAGACCAAAAGCCGCAGGGGCATGCCTGCTGGGCTCCGCCGTCCCGCGCGGCGGCGCGTGCGCCAAACGGGGCCCTGGGAGTCGGGTCTTCAGGCCACGCGCGCGGGAGGCGGCTGCGCTCGCGGCAGGACGAGAGGCGCACCACCGGGATTGGAGGACGAGAGGCGCACCACCAGGGCTGGGTGGCGCGCCCCTCCCAGGGAAGGGCCAGGAGCACCTGACCAGTGCACGAGCAGGCTGAGCGTGAAGCCTGGGCGATCCGCCGCAGCAGGAGGGAGGCGCGCCACCTGGGGTGGATGGCGCGCCCAGGCGGAAGTGGCGCGCCACCCGGGGCGAATGGCGCGCCACCGGGAGGAAGCACCCAACTGGCGCAGGTGCAGGCGTGCCATGAGCCATGAACCGCCCGTGGCGTCGGATCCGTCGGATGGACTCGGGGTGCCCATGCCGTGGGCGAGCGCCACAGCCGTCGCTTGCATGGCAGGGCTGCTGGGTCCATGGCCGTGCCGCTGCCTTCCAGGCACAGGCCAGGTGCGCGACTCGCCGTCGCACGAGCACCCTCTCGAGTCATGCAGGACGCCACGACGGCGGGGGGGTCGAGTACTTTCGCCTCACGGGGGCCCATGCCGGGCCGCGGGGCCGTGAGGACACGGCTCGGGGCGAGAGGCCGGCCTCGGGGACTGGGTCGAGGCCCTGTGGGGGTCGACGTCACGGAACACTTGTGGCGTTGGGGGTCCGGGGCGCCAAGGGTGGGGCCACGGCCTGGACGACGATTCCAGCCGACCAGTTCCTCGAGGAGCTGTGCATGCAGTGGCGCCCGGTTGAAGCCGACGCTCTCTGCAGGAAGTGGCGGAGGAGGCCGCCCTCCTCCGTCAGGAGCAGCGTGAAGGCGGGGCTCGGAGCTCGAGATCCGAGGTTTTCGGATGTTTCCACTGGTTCTCGTTCGTCGGTTTCCCAGCCTCCCCCATCAAGAACAACGTTAAGGCGGGGCTCGGAGCTCGAGACATCCGAGGTTTTCGGACGTTTCCACCGGTTCTCGTCGGCTTTTCCCAGGCTCCGGGTGCCTTCCAGCGGCTGCGCCTCGCCGAGGGCGTTTCCGGGGGTGCCCGAGTCGTCCCCAACGCCCGCTGGAGAGCAGAGTTATGATTCTGGCGCGATCGCCCGCCTCGCCCGGGAACATTCAGGATGGGGAAAAACACACAGACACCAATAATCGCCGATCCCCAAGAAAATATACGAAAATATGGGAAGTGCGGGGGTAGACAGAACCCCCCCCCAAAAAAAGGGGAATCTGGTTGTTTGTGCCTATTTATTTGGACGCCCCCCGCCCCAGCACCCCCAAACCACCCCAAAACAAACAAAGCGCCAATTGATCGTGTTATCCTCATCCTTCTCCGTCTCCTCCTCGTTATCCCGTCCTCCTCCTTCTCAGAAACTGACAACGACCCTCGTGGGCTCGTTTGAGGAGGGGTCACGTCTCTGAGCGTAGGGGCCTGAAAACGCTGTGTTTTCAGTTTATATATATATATATATGTGTATATTTTTGCTATATATATAGTGATTTCTAGCAGAGACTACGCAAGTTGGCTAGTCTCTCCCAGGAATCCGAAGAACCAGAAAACCAGAAACACTTGAACAAAACACAGCGTGTTCAGTCCCTCTACGCTAAGGGAGGAGGAATGTGAGAGGATACAGGAGTGATGCGAATGAGCGGAGGCCGAACCGTGTGAGGGTGTGCCGAGATTGACTTGGGGCCTTCGGTAGAGGTTCATCTGCGTGGTCACGGAACGTTTGAGGGGTGCTCCGAAGAAATTTCCTACGCTTCCCTTTCCATTCCAAACAACAGCATGGGTGAATGCAAGTGTTGCCTTGTGTACAACATCGTAACATCACGACAGATCAAAAACAATATGCGTATCCGCGCACATCTCGCTCGGGCACTCCTGGCACGTTTGCCCCGGACAGCATTCCAGAGATAAGCTTCACGGGTCATATGTGGCAAGCAAAAGGGCTGCGCATCGGCGTGCGCATCAGCTGCAGCAGATACTACTGCGCTCGGTTCAGTCAGAGGCCGAACCCTCGCCCACTTGCGGGAAGGACCACTCGTCGCCTGAAGCGGCGGCCGCGCCCTCGGCCATCGCCGCGGCGATATCCTGCGAGGAGACGTCGGCGGCTGGCGGGCGCGCCGGGGACAACAGGTCGATGCTCGAGCCGCGGGCCTCCCCCCCGCGCTCGATGATACTCTCCTTCATCGCCCGCATGGCCCTCTCGCGCTCCTCCTCGTCCATGGTGGACACGTCGGGGCAAACCAAGCGCTTGACGCCGCGCTTAAGCGGCTGCGGCGAGGAGATGTCGAGCACGTGGCCGTGAAAGGCCAGCGCGCGATCGCAGAGGCTTTGCTGAACGGCGCGGCAGACATTCAGCTGCTCATCGATACCACGCGTATCTTCGAGAACGGGGCACGAGGCGCTGGTCGGCTGACCAGCGGCCGCTCGCGGGAACCATTCGCTCCCCTGCCTGCCGCTCGGCGGCTGCGTGGCCACCGCTGGGAAGTTGTATCTCGCGGGCGCGTCCTGGTCGAAGAGCGTGGGGCCACGGACCGCCGATGACTGCCCGAGCTCCTCGCCCCGCGCAAACTTCTTCATGGCGGCCACGGCCCACCTCATGTGCTGGTCGTAGTCGGATGGAACGCGAGTCTGGTATTTCTTGAATGCCTTGAGGATGTCGTGCGTCTCGGGCGTGAAGAGATCTGGCTTCGCGGGCACTGGCCACGGAAAGCGAGGGACTGGCTCCTTCGTCGTGGATGCCGCCCGAAAGTACACCCATTTCGGCGAGAGGAGCACGACGTTGGACCTCGCCATGCACGCATCCACGTCCGCCATCTTGTAGCTGCGCTGCTTTTCGCCGATGAAATTGCATTCGATGGTCTTGATGAAGTCACTAAATGCTACCTCTTCCTTCTCCCTGCTCACGGACTTGACCGTCGCCTCGAACTCCTCGTTGCACGGATTGACACAGATCTGGCGGGACTGGTTCTGCTCGAAAGAGGCGCCGCCCCATCTGTGCAGCGCGCGGAAAACTACAACAAAAAAAGGCCCTGGTAAACTTACCAGCGTAATTTGGATGCGTTTAAACAATTTTGTTTCCAAGAAATGCATGTTCCCCGCGCGCCGCCGCCTCGCCCAAAGCAGCGCGTCTTCCTCGGCGGGGTCGAGGAGAGCCTTGATCTCGTCGGGGTCCCACTTGGCCAGCACGGCATCGTCTGCGATGGCGGGCTTGAACATGGTCCCAGGCTCCAAGCGCAGGAAGTCGATCGTCTTCACCGTGATGACTCTCGGGCGGAGGTCAGCGCGGCGGTGCTTCTCAATCTGGTCGGCAGAAATAGCGAAGCCGATCGTTTTGGATGCTGTGGGTTTGCCGACCCTGGTCTTTCCGATCCGCATGGCCCCATGGACGTCGTGGCCCCTAAGGATGGGGGCGACGATGCGGTCGAACAGGAACGGGTCAAACCGCTTGAGAGTGACCGCCCAGCGCTCGAGTGTCCTCGCGCCGACAGTGCCCGACGCGCAGTTGCGGAGCGACTCCTTGACGTCTGATGCCATCCATCCGACGTTTTGAATCATCTCGTCGGTCCACTCCACGAACTGGTTTTGTTGTTGGCCCTCGGGCCGTGCTCCTCGATGTAACGGTCACCCGCCCGCCGCTTGCCCTTGTCACATACATCGGCCCCTGCGGCTGCGGCGGTGGCCACGGACGGCTGGACCCAATGGCGGATCTGCACTCCGCTCCGCCAAGAGCTTCAGCGGCGTCCTCTTGTCTGGCGAGTTCCGCCAGTGGGGGGTCAGCGCCGTGCCAGAGACAAAGACCTCTCCTTCGCGATGTCCGCCCGCGTGGCCTTCTCGAACTTGATGTATTTCACAGCGAACTGCCGACCGTTGTCTTCTTTCGGCAGGGTGTAGAGCTGCATTGTGAATGCGATCTCGCCAGGGTCCTTGTTCGATCTGAACGGGGCTGGTAGCGCCATGTAACTGCCGCCGCACATGGCGTCATAGACCTCAACAGTATCCAGTTGCTGCGCAGCACCTTCCTCCAGCGTCACCCAGTCGGCCAAATGCTTGGGATTCACGACGTTGTCAGTGCACTGGAGGGGCATGTCGCGGAGGCGAAACGCCGCGGGGGGATCCGACTGGAAACGATCTGGTTTGGTGAGGCGCGTGCAGGGCTGCACGACCGCCATGTGCAGCCACGTGTTCTCGATCTGGTCAGTCGCGGACTCGTCGCCGCCGATGATGTCCCCCATCGACTTGATGCCGCCGGCAGTGAGGCTCGCCATTCCAGGCGGCGGGCGAAGTTGGGCGCATGACGCTAATGCTGGAGCAACTGCGATGCTCGAGCCTGACCACACTGCTAAACTGATGCGAATGCTAGACCAGCTAAACGGGCGCTGAGTTGCTGAGTCCCAGCCATCGCCCGCAGTTTCTTTTTGGGCGCGCCGTCCTCGGCAATGTTGTGGTAGCGGGGCTTGGCGTACTTCGGCCTGACCCAGATGTGCTTCCCGTTGACCTTGACGCGCTTGCGGCAGTGGGCGACGTAGTCGTGCTTCACGCCGTCCAACTTGATCATGTACCTCTTGACGCCGTCCGTGTGCAGAATGACGCGCTCAAAAGGGGGCGTCGTCGCGCTCGGAGCCCTTCCAGGGGACGCCCAGCGGCGCTGAGCTCCCTCAAGGGGAGCGTCGTCGCGCTTGGGGCCCCTCCAGGGGACGCCCAGCGGCGCTGAGCTCCTTCAAGGGAAACGCAAGTGTTTATGATTGCTTTTGCAGGGGGACCCTTTTCACCGCAGATGACGATGAGGAGGACGCCCCCATGCGGAGGAGCAGGAGGAGGAAGATAATGATGATGAGGAGGATGCCCCCCCATCCCCCCACTCCGTCGTTTGGGGGTGCTCGGGCGGGGGGCGAGCATTTATTTGTGTGCCCCAGTTTCCTTTCGAACATGCGGATTCGCTACAGAGGAAACCCATGCCAAAAAACACCCAGCTTGCCTCCAGGGTGCCCTGGGTCTCTCGGGTTTCGGTGGTTTTTTGCCATGGGCACCGTGACGCCCCCACACCAAAAGTCAATGGGCGTCCTGGGGTCTCAGGGTTGGGTTTCTTGCGGAAGGTTTCTTGCGGTCGAGCTCCTGTTGTTACTGCAGTGGCGATGCATCGCCGATGCATCGCCGATTCCACGCTTCCCGCACCAGGCCAGTCCCCTCCTATTGCCTATTGTCGTTATCCCCGTACGGGAATCGACCTTCATCGACGCGCGCCACTCGCACACGGCAGGTGACACCCGCAGACATCGGGGGCCTTTTAGAACGGTGTGGTGAACGTTCCGCGCGGCGGGCGACACGCTGAGCACACGGCCCCGACCTCGTGAGCCAGGAGCGACGACAGGGGGGGTGGGAGAGGTCCAGGGGGTGATGGGCCTGCGTTCCACCACCACCACCACCATTGAGTTGGATGGGGGGGAAGGAGGTGGAGGACGAGGAGGAGGAGGAGGAGGAGGAGGAGGAGGAGGAGGAGGACCCTCTCCCCCTCCAACTTGTGGTGGTGGCGACGGAACACGAGCCCATCAGGGGGGGGGGGGGGATGCGTCGACCACCGATCGACCAGCGATCGGCGGCAGGGGGCCTCCTGGCCCGCCCGCCCACAGGAGCGTGCGGGCATTCGCTGCCCGAGGCCCGGTCGCCCGCCGGGCCGTCGGTGAGGCGTCGCGGGCTCGAGCTGTCGAGGTCTCTCCGCCCCCCCCCCTTGGCATCGCTCGGGCGTGCGCATTTTCCCTTCGGCGAGGACTATCGAGGAGCATCCTTGATCATGTGGCGAAGCAACCACGCACGAAACCGAAAAGAACACAGGAAATGGACGTCCGAGCGATGGCCAGCCCCCTGAGCTGGTCCCCCCCCCCAACCTTCAGTCGGGCCTGTCCCTCCATACATCTGTTCATTCCTAAGTGCACGCCGGTCGCTGAAAGGAAGTATTTCTGGATGCCCAGATCCCAGTCTCCTTCGAGCGCCTTCCTGCTTCAAGAATCGGCACGCTCTTGCTGTGTTTTGTTATTCTCTGGGAGGACCTGGACCCAATCTACTACATCCGCCTTCCTACTTCATGCTTCTACCTACTTCTTCCGACCGACGTGTATTCGAAAGTTCTTTGATTTTTTTTGGGGCCAAGATCCTTTCATTCCTAATTCTTGTATCCTGGGCCTTTTCCTGGCCACGAGGGGGCCAGGAACAATCAGAAACGAGCACAAGTAGAAATGAGCACGATTAGAAATGAATGGCGTGTACAGGGGGGAATATTCAATAATAGTCAAACATAGTCTGGGGATGATGGTTTTACAATTTTGAAAAATTTGAGAATTTTTTAACTAGTTCAAAATTTCCGTCCAAAGTCGGCCTGTAGGGGAACAGGCCCGAGCTAACCTTAACTTTGCAACTTTCGAGCGACACTTGCACACGGCAGGTGCCACCAGCAGACAGTGGAGGCCCCCAAATGGTGTGGTGACCACTCCGCGTGGTGAGTGATTGGCGATTTGATGTCGCCGCGCGGTCTTGGGACTCGGGCCGCTCTCCAAGGACGCCTCCGAGGCCCCAGAAGAGCCCTGCAAGAGCTCCCGACCGGCAGAGGCCCCCCCGATTCCCTCGTGGGGCTCCTCTGTGTGCGTGGGGGTGGGAGGTCTGGCGCTGGCGGAGAAGCCGTCCCTGGGCTTGGCATCGCTCGGACGTGTGTATTTTTCTTTTGGCGAGGACCATCGAGGAGCATCCTTGATCATTTCGCGAAAAAACCACGCACGAAACCGAAAAACAACACAGGAAATGGACGCCCGAGCGATGGCGAGTAGGCGTCCGAAAGTTCATGAGCACACGCCATTATGTTTGGACGCTGTTGGCCCGAAGAACTGCATGCCGCGAGGGCCCTCCGACGCCGCGAGCGGTCTCCGCTTCTTTGGCCTCTGGTGCCGCAGTCGGCTTCGCCCGTGCCGCAATCAGCTTCGCCGGTGCCCCAGCGCAGCCCGCCTGCAGCTCGGATCCGAGACGCCGCCGACCAAGCAGTTTTGGTTTCCCGCGTTATCGGGCTGCCCCGCGGCAAGCTCCACCGCCGTGCCAGCGCGGCATCGGCATGCACGGAGGATGGTGTCTGCCGAGAGTTCTGCTTGCATCTGCGTCGGGCGTCACCCCGCTGGAACCACCGAAGATGCGTGGAAGTGGAGAGAGTCGTTACCTCGAAGGTCGCCAGCGGGGGCTTGATCTGGATATTCGAAGAATGTGGCGCCCCCCTTGGACCCCTGGGGGGCGCAGGAGAGAGGGAACAGTTGCACGTTTGAAGTGATCGTTGTGTTATTCATTGTGTTGCCGATCTCGGCTGTTTTTGGCGCCTGTTTCGAGCAGGTGGAGTCGCCCCCATCGGACGCAAAGGTGCAACCAGTCGCACTAAGCAGAGGTCCGGAGCTGGACCCCACTCCCCTCCCCTCCCCCCCTTTCCGCCCAATGGCGAAACGCCGAAAAAGAGATCTCTCACTTGGCAGTACCCAGGGGGGCAAAATCTGAGATGGAGTTTGCTAAGGCGGCAGTCCGCCGGACCCCGCAAGGGCGCAGGAAAGAAGGGGGAGTCGAACGTCTGGCGGGGCCCACGGGAAAACAATGGGAGCAATCATAACGAAGGACCGACAAGAGCATGCATAGAGCAGAACGAAGGGGGAGAAGTAAAAAGAGAGAGAGAGAGAGAGGCAGATAGAGGGCGGGAGGAAGGATGATTGAGAGAGGATCAAGGAGCAGCAGTTGATATCATTCCCGAGTGAAGTTCTGTGCCTTCCGTTGACTGACCGACTGAACTGAACTGCACTGGACTGCATTTCAATTCATTGAAATTGATGGAAATTCAGTCGGACATTTGTGACAACACAGTTCAACCCGCCCGCGGGCGCATCCGCGACCGCAACCAGGCGACGCAGTTCAACGCTCCCGGGGCCGCAACCGCAACCGCAAGCGCAACCAGGCGACACATGTCAACGCGCCCGCGGGCGCAACCGCAACCGTAAGCGCAACCAGGCGACACATGTCAACCCGCCCGCGGGCGCAACCGCAACCGCAGCCGCGGCTGCGGCCGCGGCCGCAGCCGCAGCCGGGCGACGCACGTGTCAAGCCGCCTGCGGGCGCAGCCGCTCCCGAGGCGCAGGAGGCGCAGGCGCACGAGGGAGAGGAGGGGAGGAGGAAGAAGAGAGGGAGTGGGAAGAGGAGGACGGGCAGGACGGCCAGGAGGAGGAGGAGGAGGAGGAGGAGGAGGAGGAGGAGGAGGAGGACGACGACGACGGTGAGGAGGGGGATGCGGGGGCCGTCGTGTCTCAGGGGGCTGCAGGAGCAGGTGCCGGTGGAGGCGGAGACGCAGTGGCACGATAGGAAGACGGAGGACCTGGAGGATGAGAAGGAGAAGGAGGCCGATGAAGAGGACGAGGAGGAGGAGGAGGAGGAGGAGGAGGAGGAGGACGCGTTGCCCGCGGTTCATCGCCAGGGCATTGCAGCGGGAATCCCCATTCAACGCTGCTGCCTCGGACTGAAGACTCAGACCCCCGACGTAGTAATTCTTCACCCTTTGGGCCCCCGATGCCTCGGCCCCTTCCCCCGGGGCCGGCCGTGCATCCTGAGCCGTGTTCCGTGATGGGCTTAAGTCGAGCCTTTCCCTCTGCAGGAGGATAAGTAGCGTAAAAAAATAGTCCACGGATTATTTTTGATTATATATATATATATATTACTTTTGATACTGGCCTTCTGATTAACATATATTATCACACATATATATAGTCATATGATTTTCTGCTCACTTTTGTATATATATGTATGTATTCACGTATTTGGAGTATTTTTCAGTTTTCGACCAAAATCCGCCTGTGGGGGGGGGGGGGGGGGGACACGTCCGCTCTGATGATGGGGCCCAGGGCCAGGCACGGGGCCCCCCTCGGGAGGCAGGCCAGTCGAGCAGCGAGCCTGCCCTCGTCGTCGTGGCGTGCGTGCGTGTGTGCGTGTGTGTGTGTGTGTGTTTGTGTGTGTGTCTGCGTCTGTGTGTTTCTGTGTGTGTCTGTGTGTGTGTGAAAAAAAAACACGTGGGGAAACAAAATATACAACACACAAACACACACACACACAAAAAAAAACACAACAAAACAAAGTCTGTGGGAAAAAAAACACAAACAAAGAACACACACAGTGTCTGTGTGTCTGTGTGTCTGTGTGTGTTTTTCCCACAGTGCCTGTGTGTCTGTGTGCGTGCGCGACGGGGGGAGGCCTGGCAGCTGAGGCCCACGCCGCGTGCTGGCCGCAGACAAGCACCGGGCGCGCTCCACTGCCCTTAAGTCGGGCCTGCCCCTCCACTGGAGGAATGTTCAAACATAGTCAAAGCATAGTCAGGGGACGACTTTTCGACTATGTTTGCGCATCTTCCGATCATTTTTCTACTGTTTTTAATTTTTCGCCCCAAATCCCCCTGTAGGGGGACACGCCCGGCTTAACACTACCCGCCCGACTCCGCCGCCAGCGTTCCACGTTGAACGCCGGCCCTCCGTCTAGAATCGGTCGATGTTGAACCATCCTGACGTTTCGGGAGCGGCCGATCGTGCAAGGTTG